TCCTCTCTCACTGCCTGCTGTTCTCTCTCTGCGACTCCTCTCTGCAAGATCGAAATGCTCGCCAACAACAACGCTCAACGAATGCGGTGCCTGCTGGGCGTCACGCTGCTGCTCCTTGTGCACTGCGCCGGCAGCACTCTCGCAGTGTCGGAGCACCACCGCTGCATCTACGACTACGTATCTAATAAACTGCCTGGTGTTCAGACAGTGACACCTATTTACAGCACTCCGATGCAAACTGCGTTGCCTTTGTCAACTGATCAGGGCGCGAAAACGTTTCGGCCTCCTGATTCTGTCATGAGGAATAGATTCCCGTTACCTTCCGGGGATTTTAAGCCTCTCCGCGTCAAGGTGTTTGTGGTGGCCACGAAGGGCTCTCGGACCTGTGCGAGCGCCTCGGGTGAGATCACCACCACGTTAGGCACCAAGGTGAGCTGCACGGAGGATGACGTTCTGACGGCGGAGAAGAAGAAGATTCTGGTACAGACGATCCTCCCCGAGGCTGTGAAGCTGCACACTGAGCGGCTGTACGTGAGGCCGACTACTTTTCGCGTTGCTGCCCCGAACTTCAGTGACACGAATGCCTGCGGTGAGTTGGACATCCCTGAAGAGCACCACACTGAGGGTGTTGACGACGTCGACATGGTGCTGTACGCCACTGCTGCGCCGACCGCTGATGGCGCCTTTGCGTGGGCGGCGACGTGCGCGGTGCACCCCAATGGGCGGCCGCTGATTGGCGTGATCAACTACAGCCCGCGCCACATCGCACGCACGTCGCAGGCCGTCCGCGTCGCCGCACATGAGATTGCGCACACCCTTGGGTTCAACGTGAAGACCATGGAAAAGTACAAAAGGACTGGAGCTGGGATATCGCCCAAGGGCCTCCAAGGAAGGAAGACTCCCGTCTTTGACGCAGCAAATACGAAGATAGTGACAGAGTACTTTTACAACTGTTCAAACAAGAACAAAATGCCACTCGAGAACGAGGCACCGTGGATGGCGGCAGCTGAGGGGGAAGCCATGACACCTCCGGTGCGTGTCTCCCCTCCCGGTGTTCAGGCTGCAAGTGTGGCGGGAATACAGGCGGAAAGCGCTGATGTTTTGAATAGCGAAGTCCCTGATCTAGAGCCTGTTGTCGAGCAGAGAAGGATTACAGTCATCGACATGCCACCACCGCCGCCGCTACAGGTGGAGGTGTCTTCCCACTGGAAGCGCCTCGTTGCGAAGGACGAGTTGATGACCGGCCTTGTCGGTGCGGGGCGCTACACACTGTTGACACTTGCAGCCTTCGCCGACCTGCAGTTTTACATGGTGGACTGGACAAAGGCGGAGCCGATGAACTGGGGGAGAAATGCTGGATGCGATTTTCTGACCAATGAAAAGAAGTGCGTTGAGAGTGGCGTCTCTAAACACCCTGGCATGTTCTGCACGGGTTCCACCGATGAAAAGAAGTTACGGTGCACGTCTGACCGTCAGGCGTTGGGGACGTGTGTTACTAAAGAGTACGAAAACCTTCCTGAGAGATACCAGTACTTCGAAACCAAGGGTGGCAAGATGCGTGGTGGCAGGCGGGAGGACATGATGGACTACTGCCCCATTGTTGTGGCGGGCAAAGGCTTCAGCTGCATTGATGGCGACCGAAGCGTCATGCCGGGGAGTCTGGTCGGCGCGAACTCGCGGTGCGTGGAGGGGAAAAATCTGACGGTGTTGGGCAACGAGGTTGGTGACGTGTGCGTGCACGTGGCGTGCTTTTACGGCTCGGTGTACGTGCAGTACGCTGGTGCCCCCACGTATTACTTCTGCCCGGAGGGGAGGTCTCTGAGGGCCCATGGCGACTTCGACGGGTACGGCAACATCACTTGCCCGCGGTACGAGGACGTGTGCACCACCATGCTGCCGGAGGAAGAGACCACCACGACCAGCGATGTCCCCAGCCTGTCACAGTTCGTTTCAGAGATGTCGAATGTGCTGATCAACATGGCTGTCGAGCGGTACATCGCAGACCCAATGCCTGCAAAACAGCAGGAGAATCAAGCCAAGGGCACAAAGAACGTACAAGTTACAGATGTCACAGCCGCTAAACCCGATGTAACCAATGACATCGAACAACAGTTGGCTACGGCGACCTCCGATGCGTCTGAGAGTCAAGCTGCCACTAAGGCCCCACAGGGCGGCAGTACAGTTGCTTCTGGTGCTGGCGATAGCCAGACCAGCACGTCTACAGCCACAAATACCCCTAAAAACTCGGAGGCACCTAACAACACAGCCGAGGGCTCTCAGACAACTGCTGAGAGTAATCGCCAGAAGATTGTGTCAGCACAGGGCAAGAACCTTGATCTCAAGCTGAATGCTGATGGTGGTGCTGCTGCTTCCGCTTTGATGCCGCTTGTGTTGGCCGTCGTGGGCGCCTCTGCGATCATGGCGCACTGAGTGTCTGTGTGTGGGTTGGTGGGTGTTAAACACATTTTGTTTTCTTGCTCCGTGGGCATGTCTCACGCACATTCTTTTCTCTCTCTTGGGCAATGCAGTTCTCACTGCAGGTAAGTTTTTCTTTTTTCTTTTTTTTGTGTGTGTGCTGTGTGGCTCGGTGTTGGGAGTCGGCGTCGTGGGCGCCCCTCCGCTGATGTTGTGGGCGGCCGCTGCCTTCCCCGCCCCGCTGCCCGCAGCCCGTCCCGCGGTGAGTGCAGGGGACCACTCCTGCGCTGTGGACGGCTGGTAAGACGTTGCTGCTGTTGATGACGCTCCTCCGTGGGCAGAGACGCACTGGACAAATGGATTCTTTCTTTTTGGTTTTCTTTTTCTACTTGCTGCACGCACTGCTGCTCCCTTGCACCGTCGCACCGAACGTGAGGACGACCCCGATGCGGCGATGGGGAGCTGGTGCTGCCTTCTCTTTTCATTGGGTGTGGTGTTTTGTTGTGGGGGAATGTGTTGCGTGGTGCTGTGCAGGTCGTCTGAGTGCTGTGCTGTGTCTGGTTGTGTGCTGTGTGCACTATCCGCTTTCTTCCTTTCTCTGTTCTGTCTGCTGTGCTTGTTGCTATTGGACAGTGTGGTGGTGTGTGGTAGACGATGAGTGGGCTGCGGGGTGCGAAGCGGTGTGTGGAGTGAGCATGCGTGACGGTATCTGTTGCCTGTGTTACCCAGGAGATGCTGGTGGCTGGGCTCCTTGCAGGCGGTACGCCTTTGGATGACTGCATGATTCGATGAGTGGTCTTGTTTGGGACCTCCGGATGTGGTGTGGTGCTGTCGTGGGCTTTACGGGTGTGAATACTGAGCGGATCACGCCCTGCGTTGGTGCTGTTGTGTTGTGGGCGTGGGATCCTCTTTGTGCGTAATTCTACTTTAGCCTCTTTGCCCTGGCATTGTCGCTTGTGCGTGGCTGTTCCGCATGTAGATGGCACTCATACATGTGTCGCTTGAGCATCCACACTCTGTGGTGTCTCCCACGCACTGGGCAGGCCAGCCTACCATCATCAGGGTCTACAGGGGCGTTCTCACTGTGCCCTCGGTTCGAGATGAGGTGCCTGAATAGCCTGCTGCCATGTACGTGGTCTGGCAGCAGAGGGATAGTGTGGTCGCGGTGACGTGCTCTCACGTGTCTGACTGCTATTCTGGGATGGCATGTTGTGCTACAGCAGGGGCAACGGATGCGCTGAGGGTCCTCTGTAGCGCCCGATGAGGTAGGGCCTCCTTATTCACTGCGTCTGGTGTAGCGAGCATGGGTGTGTCCGGGTGAAGCGTATTTACATGCGACTTGAACCACTGCGGGGTGTGCGGATGGGGACAGTACGGGCATTGAGATCCCCGTTGTGTAGTGCCCGCCTATTGTGCAGTGGGTGGGTGTGTTGTGGTTTGCTGCGGGTGTGGTGGGCACTTGGGTTGATCAACGCGGTACTTCATACGGTAGCGTTTAATACAATATTCGCACCTCGGGTCTAGACCCCGGTGGCTAACGCGCACTGGTATATTGGGGTCTGCGGCGACGGTGTAATGGCGTGTTTGGGGGGCTGTGGAGTGGGGACCCTCCTTATGCACTCCATCGTCGGGAGAGGAGCTGGGGTGTGCTTTGCTGTCATGTGCCCCGGAACTCCTTCCTGTGCTTGGTGCTGCAGCGGCAGAAAGGACGTGCGATGTCCTGACCTTCGGTTGGTGCCGCCGTGGCTTCAGGAGTCATGTGAATGGATTGCGCCGGAGTTCTGCCATGGTGCTTCTGCGTGAGGTTCTTGGCAGGTCATTGCCGTGTGTATACCACGTGGCAAGTCGGCCAGCATAGTTGTTGGTCTGCTCGGACGGCAAGCGGGACTGCGTAACGCATTGTGGACTGAGCCCCGTTTACGAGTCGGTGGAGGGACGGGCTTCTTGTTTCCTCGGAGGAGGAATTGTGTTGTCTGCACCAGCGACATGATGTGTGTGTGTGGGGTGGAGGGTGCGCTAATCCTAATTGCTTTCCATTTCTGCCTGCATGTGCTCGTGGAGTACGATAACCCTTTTATTCTGTGTGTGTGTGTGCGAGTATATCCACACTGCAGTAGCAGG